TACTTGTTGATGCTGTTGTTGGTTCTTTCCGTCTTTTCCTTGTCTTCTTCACGCTTTCTCTTCGCTACGGTCATGCTTCAGCCAGTCCCAGAAGGGAAGACTCCTGTGAGATGACTGACCAGCTTTGCCTTTCAAGGGCAATTCCTCCTCGCTTCCACTGGCACTGTCGTCCCTCCGCTCGCCCATCCACTCTTCCCGCCCATCGTCCGCGTACCCCTCGCCATTGTCATCTATGACGAAGTCATCTTGATCAAGGCGAGCCCTGACCACCTTTTTGTAGCCTTCTTCGTCTACCTCCTCATATACATTCTCTTCTTCTTCTACATTGTAGGTAGAGAGACGTGTCTTGCCAGATGCTCGCAGCGCTCGCAATTCTGCGAGGCGTGCGTGGCGCGACATAGGTGAATGAGACTCCAGATGACAGGTACAAACGGTCAATCCATCGAGGGAATGATTGAACAAATTGTTATTGCACAATTGTGTCAAAGAGTTGGATTTCCCGAAGTGCAGGTCGCGAAAACGCGAGCACGCGCAACGCGGATCACTATTGGCGAACTAACGGAGCTAAGATAAGATTAGGGCTTGCTCTTCCTAAAATACTTTATCGTTAACTTGCTGTTAACTGTCTAACCTGGACCGGTTTTGTTCGTGAAAAGATAGCTATTATCGGAATACCACCAACATCTGACGTAGCAAAAGGGATATTCAGCCTCCCAGACTGCAACTGTTTCTGACGGTTTGCCTGGCAACGGAACATGGCTCTTGGCATAAAAGAGGGATAGTAGATATCGGTGCAAGAAATGAGCTGTCTACTTTCAATTGAACCCAATTGCATTCTGATTGGGAAGGGACGTACCTCAAATTCTAACCACACCCACAATCGGGCTTTGAGGCTCTTGCAGGCTCGACGCTATGTAATACTGCAGAATGTTTGTCTTTCGACTTCATGTGAGGCTATCAACTTGACAAATGATTTGGGGATTAGCTCAGTGACTCGTGAGTCTTTGGCAAACTTGAAGCTTGAGAAAACATCAACTTGACGCACACAGCAAAGGTTCATAGGGCCGCAGGCTTGAAAAGCCTGCGAGAGCTATGACGTGATCGAACAGATACGTTGGAAGACAGGCAAGGAAAGTGTGGTATTTCTGGGGCTTGAGAAGCAGACGTATCGGCAGATAGTCTGCACCTCAGTCATTTGGTTTTGCCATATCAACGATTTACAGACATAGAAGCTGGCAGACATGTTGGAAACTGTGCCTTGATTTGAATCCGTTCGCTGTTGTCCATCTTTTTGGCGATATAAACACTAGTCACAGAATTTTCCTATACTTCTTGTGAATTGTTTTAATCAATGTAAACAGAGTGATAAGAGATTATGGTACGTTCATGTGGGTAGACGAGGATATAGTTTTTGTATATTCCACCAGGCCAAGTACCCTTAACTGAATTGGGCTAGTCGCTTCTGGTCTCCAATCAATCTGAGATCCCGCTCCCGTTCATCCGAGGTCCAAACTTTGGTGGATGCGGGGTCCTTTTATTGCATCCACTCCTCTACTCGTTACCCTTACTTTAGGTATGCGGGGAAAAGCCAATCGTCGTGTCATGCCTCGCAAGATGCCCACTTCCACACCTTCCCTTTGGCCCCGTACTGGCATGGCCTGCGATGTAGAAACAACGCATTGCTTCTACCATCTTCTATCCAAGACCACATACATATACCACTGCAGCATCCATCCAATTGACACACCATGGCTACCGCAGCAGTGCAAATACCGTCGCACAATCGCATCGAGTCGGGCTCAAACCAATTGAAGCCGGCAGCATATCCAAGTGAAGCCGACTCTAATGCCCCGCCTAAAGCCGATGTCCACAAGATTGCTTCGGAATGGGCTGAATCGTTGAATAAGGCTCTGTCGAACCGAGATTACGAAAGCCTCAAGCAGCTGTTTCTACCAGGCTCGTGCTGGCGTGATCAGCTTGCCCTCTCCTGGGATTATCACACTTTCAACGGACCAGAGAAGATCATCTCGTTCCTCGAATCCTCCCCTCACGGCAGCCGTATCAAGTCCATAAGCATCGACGATAGTAGTACTCTGCACTCGCCTCATGTGTCTGCCGCGGACTTCAATGGCAAGATTAACGGTGTGGGATCGTTTCTGAACATCGAGACCGATGTTGGTAAGGGACCCGGCATCGTTAGACTGTTGCAAGATCAGCAAGACGGTGGGAAATGGAAGGCTTTCACACTCTTTACGGCAATGCATGAGTTGAAGGGTCATGAGGAAACCGTGCGTGGGAACAGACCACATGGAGTTACTCACGGTGGGAAGCCGGGGCGAAAGAACTGGCAGGAGAGGAGGACGGCGACGGAGAATTTCGAGGGTGACATGGAACCTACAGTCCTAATCTTGGGTGCCGGACAAGGAGGCTTGACGTCTGCCGCACGTCTTCACCAATTGGGCGTTCCAACCTTGATCATCGACCGCAACCCTCGTGTTGGAGACAATTGGCGAAACAGGTAAGCTCCTCGCAAGAGCTTCTTCATATTTCCACTGACACCTGAACAGGTATCACCAACTAGTCCTTCACGATCCTGTTTGGTATGACCATCTACCTTACGTCCCTTTCCCTTCACACTGGCCAATCTTTACGCCCAAGGACAAGCTTGCGGAGTGGTTCGAATCCTACGCCAAGTTGCTTGAACTGAACGTATGGACCCAAACCAACCTCGAGTCAGCAAGTTGGGATGGCAGCAAGCGGCAATGGACCGTAAACCTTGAGCGTAAAAAGGCGGACGGTACCACCGAAAAGCGCACTCTCCACCCTCGCCATGTCATTCAAGCTACCGGACACAGCGGCGAGATGTCCTTTCCTCAAATCAAGGGCATGGAGGACTTCAAGGGAGACCGTCTCTGCCACTCCAGTCAATTCAAAGGTGCCACCTCAGATTCTAAGGGCAAGAAAGCGATCGTTGTGGGTTGCTGCAATTCAGGCCATGACATCGCACAAGATTTCTACGAGCATGGCTACGATGTCACTGTTGTTCAGCGATCATCTACGTATGTCATGTCATCGAAAGAAGGCCTCGATGTGCTGCTTGCTGGGCTCTATGAAGAAGGTGGTCCTGATACAGAAGACGCAGACCTACTGTTCATGAGTATTCCAAACGCCATGCTGAAACGCATGCACGTTGATGCTACTAAGGAGATCGCACGGAGGGACGCCGACCTGCTTGCCGGGCTTCGAAAGGCGGGCTTCAAGCTTGACAATGGACCCGACGACGCAGGCTTCTTCATGAAGTATTTCCAACGTGGAGGCGGCTACTACATCGACGTGGGAGCGAGTCAACTTATCATTGATGGCAAGGTCAAAGTCAAGCAAGGCCAAGAGATCGCGGAGGTCAAGCCGCATGGCTTGCTGTTCGCTGATGGCTCCGAGTTGGAGGCTGATGAGATCGTTTTTGCGACTGGATATCAGAACATGCGTGGAACCGCCAGAAAGATCTTTGGAGACGAGATCGCTGATCAAGTGAAAGATGTCTGGGGCTTCGACGAAGAGGGTGAGCTGCGGACCATGTGGAGGAAAACAGGCCATCCTGGATTTTGGTTCTTCGGTGGCAACCTCGCTTTGTGCAGATATTTCTCACGCATGCTAGCTTTGCAGATCAAGGCGATGGAGGAGGGGATCATGAAATACGAGGACCCGTGAAGGGCTGAACGGGATTGCGCGTCAATGTTCTGGTTCAGTAAGACTCTTCAAAAGCTTTGTATTCAGAAGCTGTATTTCAAGAATTTATTGGTTTTGTCTTGCATGTCGCATCCTGAAGAATTCCTTCGTTGAAAATAGCCTAAGGATGAGTCAATCAAGCCCTAAGATACACAATAGATCTTATCGGAGATCCCGAAAATATGAGTAACAAATCACAAAGATGAATTCATGCGTTTCCATGCAGGTGTACTGCAACTGAACGTCACTTGCATATCCCACTACCATTTTCAGGTCTTCCTCTCCAAAAAAGCAGACACATCCATATTATTCTTGCATTTCTTCTTCTCATGGAAAAATGGATTGTTTCAAAGAATGGAGACTTCATGAAAGAAAATCCAAGCATGGCTTATTGATGCCCTTGCACGCACGCGATTGGGTGAGATTGTTTGCCTTTGCTCCGCCTAGTGCGCCTGCGACAATACGAAGTTGAAGCTGAAGTCTCACATCCGAGGGACGCGATGGGCTGATGGGCTCGGCTGAAAACAAAAACATGGCTCACTGCCGTCTGAGCCTCGGAGACGGACAAGGAGGCGAAATCTTACAGGGTGGAAATGGGTACGCGGTCATCAGGGCGTTTCTCGTGCCTCTCCGAGAGACCCAGTCGGCGGCCAGGAGTAACGTGGCATGTATGCGATGCCCCCGTTATTGTAGAAGATGTTTTGAATTTATACTCCAAAACAAAAAAGCACATTCTTCGTAGATGACTCGTAACACAGATAGAATGAGTCAATGACTGTGTTGTAGAGTGCGACGCTTTTTATCATCGAATTTCGTGTACAAGAAGCTAACGACACTAAACCGCATTTGCCACTAGCCGGGTAGCGGCTCGCCTGCGAGCAATCTCCCTTACAAAGATTTCAGATATTTTCTCTCACCACATCCTTCACGACAATCAACCACCCATCACCCATTCTACCATATCCTGCGAGTCCTCTTGGATGTACGCGGATACCTGAAGATACTAACAACGTCTTCTAATACCACCACTCACGCTTGCTGAGTCCACACTCCTTATACCGGTCTAGGGTAGCACGCCTGACCAGGCTCTGCTTCCTGTGCGAAGAAAACCGACCACTCGACACTTTCTTCAATCACCCACACCCACAAATCTCCACTCTCATCTACTTCGACACCGGATTTGACATTCGGAAGTGATTCTTGAATTTCGTGTTGGAGCCAGAAAATCTGGATACGATACCGTTTAATACTACAGAAACTTCACCAAATTCTCGATGACAAGCATTTCTCAGCCAGTCCTCCCACCGCAAGCCCCAAGCAACGCATCACAGGTAGCGCCAGCGCATTCGCCATCGGCTTCGGCAAGCGGTAGAGCACCGCCTCAAGCCGCGGGTACGGCTTCTGCCACTGTCAAAACCAGCTACGCCAGCGCGACCAAGAAGACCTTTTCGCCGTCGTCTGCGTCAGGCACGTCAGCTCCAACAGCATCGGCAGTCCAGATACCTGCGCAACATGGAAAACCTGACACTAGCTCACCAGTGAACGGCAGGGTAGCTATTCCGCCTGCCGTTCCAACCGTGGGTGCACCAACAATAGTCAATGGAAACACACCCACAAGCTCCAACTCAGGGGTAGGCGATCATAGCCGCAAGCCTTCAGTCACAATTAGTGCTGCGGGCGCATCTGGATACATGCCAAATGGAGGTCCGGTAGCAGGAAAGCCAATAGGTGGGAGCAACATACAGTTTGGGTCTCATCCTGCAGATGCCTCAGCAGCCGCGCAAAACGCAACGCCACATCCCAACCAGTCTACGAATTCTTTGGCCGTCAACACTCCATCGAATCCGCGCGTGACATCACCCCAGACATCACCGTCACCAATCCCACAGCCACCTGCTAGTGGCGGTGGCCGACCTCCCTCTAGTCTGCATGGCAACAGCACTAGCCTCAGCTTTGGCAACTTTGGTGGTACTGAAGCAAGTGTGAGTTTTTGTTGCGTCTCGTTGTAGCGCAGCTCATTAACGTGACACAACAGCAAATGAGGCTGCCTGGTGCACCTCAAGGTCCTCTCGCACCTGGGGCACAACCTAGTCACCTTCGTCGCGAATCGTCGCAATCTCAACACAGTGACATGAGCAATCATGCAATGTCTCCTGCCGGCAGAGGCGGGTATCCTCCCCAAGGCGGCCGAGGAAGAGGTAACTTCCAAGGTCAATATCCTCAGCAAAACATGGGATACATGCCTGGGTCTAACGCTAGACCACCCCCGAGCCAACCTCGAGGTAATCAAAACATGACTCCATACCAGGGTCAAAATCGATCACTCGCACCTTTTCCGAATTCGCCACTTCAAAGCGCTCGAAGTCCAGCTTTGGCAAATTCGCAGCCGGCTCACCCACAGCCTGGCCAAGTTCCGATGTCGAGCCCTCAGATGGGTGGGCAACAAGCATATGGCTACCCCAGTCAGTATGGTGGATACCCCCCTAATATGGGACCCCCACAAGTAAATCCTCAATCTTCTTCATCTACAAAACGCAATTTTCCTACACAGCAGCATTCAGGACCGAATCAGCGCCGGCACTCGGATAAGAATGCTGCTCCAATCCCCCTTGATCTTTCCCCTGCCAATGGTCAATTTGAACAATTTCTGACATTGAGACAACAACAGGGTCAATATAGTTATGATCCAAATTATATGGCTTACTACAACGTGTACGGAATGCCTGGCATGCCTCAACAGCAAATGCCGCCAAGCTCTCCTCGACCTCCACATCAGATGACTCCAGGTCCTCAACAGCCGCAATACCACCCGGGCCAATATAACAACCAGCAACAACCATCGCCCATGTCACGCACGTCCTCCGCAATTTCGCACAGTGATCGGCCCAGCTCAAGCATGGGCAGACCACAAGGAAGCTCAACTCCCGCAGTGAGCAGCGCAGCTGCAGCTACCCGTCATGCCAACAGCCCAGCGCCCAAGACCACAAACAACTTCCAGATCCCTCCAAAGAAGAAGAGCGCAGGCATTATCATCAAGAACCCCAACAGTGGTGATGTCGTCACCTTCGAAAAATCATCTGCTTCCCCTGCGCCGCCCAGCAAGTCTCCTGCGGTTGCTCCGACGCCGACTCCTCCCCCTCGTGTACCAAGTTACTCTGATACTCAGCAACCTCGAAACGAAAACAAGAGTGTCAAAACCGACGATGAGAAACGAAAAGAGATGAGAGAGACTATTGCTAAGAAAATGGAAGCGGACAGAGCGGAAGAGCAGCGCCAGAAGAATGAAGAAGAGTCCAAGGCAGCTCAAGAGAAGAAGGACAGCGAAGACAAGATTCTCAAAGAAAAGGAGGAGGCTGATGCCAAGCAACGAGAGGCAGCCACGGCTCAAATGGAGGCCGAAGAGGCTCTGAAGAAAGACAAAGCTGAGGCCGAGGAGGCTGAGAGTGCTGCTGCTAAGGCTAAAGCAGAGGCCGACGAAGCCGCTGAGAAGGCTCGCAAGAAACAAGAGCAAGAAGACGAATATGCTCGCATGGAGGCTGAATTCGCCGAGATGGAGCGTAAGGAAAAAGAAGCCGAGGAGCGATATGCAGCGAAGAAAAAGGCCGAAAAGGAGGAAGCTGCACGAAAAGAAGCTGAGGCTTTCAAGTTGGCGGACGAAGAAATGAAGAGAGCAGAGCGAGAGGCTGAAGAGGCCGAAGAAGCTCGGTTGAAAGAGATTGAAAAGTCTGAAGGTGACGACTCACAGAAAGAGCGAGAGGATATGTTCGCACAACTCAAGAATTATGGTTCCGCAACTCCCACCAGTGATGCTCCAGCTACTGCAGAAGAAACACCTGTTGACAGTGGTGTTGCCACGCCGGCATCAGATGCTCCGGCTCCTGCCGCTCCATCAAAACCAGCAGCCACTGGTGGAAAGCAGAAGCCAACTGCGCTGAAGATTGATACGGCGAAGCCTGTCGAGCCAGCCCAGCCTAGCGCCCAGCTCCTATCTCTGCGATCCGCTCGGCGACTCATGTCTATCAACGATGTCTCCTATCCTGCTCCCATCAGTTCACCAAATCCGGCGCTAAACACAGGAGCGCCAACGGGCAAGTTGCGATACAACAAGGAATTCTTGTTGCAATTCCAACGGGCCTTCGTCGAAAAGCCATCTGAGAATTGGACGGAGAGGGTCAATGAGACGGTTGGTGATACATCAGAGCCTTCATCTGCTCGTACTCCTGCACGAGGTGGAGGCGGCCCTGGTTCCATAACGACAGGACGACAGCCCTCCAACAGAGCTCCATTGCTACAAATGGGTGCCTTTGCTCAAGGTGGAAGGACTCTTCCCCCCAATACCACATCGTCGCAGCGCTTCGAAGCAGCTACTGCCAATCGCAATGCACAACCAGCACGGCCAACCATGCAAAACCCATTGGCGAGTTTTGTCTCACGGGGTCCTGGTGGGGGGTTCCCTGCGCCGGCTACCAGCACCAAGATGGACCGTACACCATCTTCCACGTCACTAAACCACCCAAATTCGCCACGCAACGCTAGCCAACGTGGCGGCTCTCAACGTGGCAGTAGGGCAGCCACGCGACGAGAAGACCCTAAGGATAATAAAGCTATGCCACTGACTGCTGGTGCTAATCTTAAGCCTATCGAGGTTACTGCTTCTGGCTGGAAGCCTCGTTCTGTCGGTGGCAACGCTACCGGCATGGCTGGGCCAGCACCAGGAGGTAATGGCCACCTTGCTCCGGACGTTGTACAGCGGAAGGTCAAGTCGAATCTCAATAAGATGACTCCAAACAATTTCGATAAGATTACAGTCCAAATCTTGGACATCAGCTCTCAATCCAAAGACGAGTCTGATGGCAGAACCTTACGGCAGGTCATCCAGCTCACGTTCGAGAAGGCAACTGATGAAGCACATTGGGCGGAGATGTACGCACAGTTCTGCAAGCGTATGCTTCAGTCTATGAGTCCCGAGATCAAGGATGAGAACATTCTTGACAAGAAAGGCGTCGTCCATGGTGGTGCGCTCTTCCGAAAGTACCTGCTCAACCGATGCCAAGAGGAGTTCGAGCGTGGTTGGAAATTGGATCTTGGTGACAAGCCAGAAGGCGAGACGGAAGAAGCAAAGATGCTGTCTGACGAGTACTACAAAGAGGCTGCCGCCAAGCGACGTGGTCTGGGACTTGTACGTTTCATTGGTGAACTCTACAAACTTGGCATGCTCACAGAACGCATCATGCACGAGTGTGTGAAAAAGCTTGTCGACTACGAGGGAATGCCAGACGAGGCTGAGGTGGAGTCGCTCACCAACTTGTTGAGGACTATTGGCCAGCCCCTGGACAGCACCACTAATGGACCTAAGATGATGGATGCCTACTTCTCGAAGATCAATGAGATGATCGTAATCGAGGGACTACCAAGTCGATTAAGGTTCATGCTTATGGACATTGTTGATCTCCGCAAGAAGAACTGGCAATCCAAGGGTGGTGTTCTCAAGGGCCCTACAACACTCGAGGAAGTGCGAGTTCAAGTAAGTTTTTTGGCGATTGTATCTTTGGGACTTGACTAATGCCCCTCTAGGCTGTTCAAGCAGAACGCGAGAAGGATATGCAACGCCAGCAAGACAACTCGCGAAGGGGAGGAGGTGGCGGTGGTCGCCCACCCATAGGCCGCGGCGACGCCCGAAATTTCTCAGGTGGAGCTCAGTATGGCATGATGCCACCACCAGACTACCACAAGAACACGGTTGGCATGGACGATCTTCGAAGACTGGGCAGCAAAGGCGGTTCTCGACAAGTCAGCTCTCAAGGCCAACCTACGTTTGGCCCTACTTCCATGTTCGGTGGGCCAAGAGGATCGAACACTCGAAGACCAGGAATGGCTGGTGCTCAGAAAGACGACTCTGGTGCGTCAAGTCGGACAGGTACTCCGCCAGCTCAGAAGGAGAAGAGGGAAAAGGAAGAGAAGGAAGCCGCGAAATCCGCAAATACATTCAGGTAAGTCTCTTCAGCTCTGCGGCTATTCACTGAATAGCCTTTAACCTCATTGCAGTGCTCTTGCAGGATTGGAGTCTTCAGAAGCCGCCGACCCAACCTCTCCCCCGTCCACCTCGCCACCGACCGCCAATGCTCAACCAGTTGAGCGCCAACGAACGAAGTCCCCCAAGGACCAAGAATCAGCGGAAGGCGGCAAGGATGCCGAAACATCATGAGAGGTCCTCTGCTTCTCAAATTTTCACTAAATCTCCACGAAATCTCCAACAGTGGCATAGCGGCCGCCACATCTACTTCGCTACATTACCTCGTGCCACATTCCGAGTGCTCAATGATACCAGCATTTGCACACCTTCGATAGATTGTCTTAAAGGTTCCTTCTTTCATATCCACTGTCGGGCACATCGATTCACAGGCGCTCGGCAAATAAAAGAAAGGATCCTGCATCTTGCATATCGGTACACAAGCTTCGTGGCTCCTTGCTGCTCAGTGATAGAGCCTCGAGCTCTGATTCCGCTATTTCTAAAATTCGACTTGGGGAGCATCACCAAGCTCACTCGTCAATTCCCGCCCTCTCTAAAATCGTAGCTTGCTCACTCACCTGCTCGTGGGGATGATAGCGATTGCTTGACACAGCATCGCAACAAAAAAGGCACGCATAGCTCAGGGTGGACAGGGAGGGCTGAAGGGCATTAGCGATTCAATTCAATCGATTTCCGCAGAGCCGCTGCATTGCAGGTTGGTGATGGTTCGTGCATGTTTTACTTACCACACATACAAGGACTACCTCCTTTTAATCATGCTTGTCATAGTGCCTGCGGGCATTGAGTAGAGAATGCAAACATATTTGTTCAATTTAGAAGAATAACAATGCCATGATCAGTGAAGCATATCTGTTGACACTGGAGTAGACACACTTAAGGAGACGAGTTGTGACTGGCGGAAATGAGTTGCGCAGGCAAAGAAAACAAGATAGGGATGGACCTACTTTTCGTAGGGTCTGGACCATTCACTGCATTGGTGGCTCCAATGGTCCCGAGCTTCTTGGTATTCGTAATGGTGACAGATTATGTGGGAGTACTCCTTCCGTCTTCTCGGCGAAGGACAGATCCAAGGGATTAGCACAGCCGTACCTTGTGACAGCCTGTCCTCCGACACTGTACGAGTGCAGGTGACTTTTGCGGAAGCACGATCTACGCTAGTTGGATATGAGCTTCCAAAAGGGATATTCAACAGGTTTATAGTCATTTCATCGCCGCCCCGGGTAATAATTAGCCCAGGGATGTGATATGGAACCCCCTTCGCTGGGGGTTTCGTACGGTATGGTTATGACCGCCTCAGGCGACGCAAACGGTGAGTGGCCAGCTTGAGCTTTTTGCATTTTGGGATCGGGCTGTGGTCGCTTTCTTATTGTCTTTCTTCCTTTCGGAAGAGGTAGTGAGGAAGGGGAAGTTGTCGCGGTTTACCAGGCCAGCTGTCGAAACAGGGTGGCAGTACGAAACGTTGAACCCTCTTGTTCTCGTATCAAGTCTGGCGATCGACCCGGAATCATTCGCCGTGAATGGACTACATGATTCGCTTTGGATAGAGTATTAGACAGCCGATACTTTCCTTTCCTTTCACTCCTTGATGCTGCTCTGGTCAAAACCTTGAGGATTTGTACCGCTTCAGTGACCACTTTTCCTAACACCTTGCCTGGTACGGAGGTAGGTCGTGGATGGATGATGTTGGCAATAGTCGGGGGTGGTAGGACCGGCAGTAGGCTTTCATTGTTGGGTCTAAGTACAAATCGAGGGGATATCGTAGATGCATGTAGGTCACCTTGAATAGTGTTGGCTACGAGACTAGGGCTCACTGAGTCTCACATCAGCGCCCAGCGAGTGAGTTAACATGTACCCACTTGATCTTGGTTATGCTATGGTTGCTATCTATACACAGGCGTAGCCAAAGACCTAATTGCATAGGCAACGGCAACAGCGCTGACCCTTAGAAGACAACGCTTCGTAGTTGCGAACCAATGTTGAGTCCAGCTTCCTTTGAGCTGACAAGGCATAGATTCAAAAACAGCTTTTGGGGATATCATGCTTAAAGATCCTGATAAACGCTGATTCATGTGCTCTAATCACCGGAAACCACGGCCACGAGGGCGAGGATACATGTTGTCGCTATACAGCCGTTGATCGTTTCGGGGCCGACCACCGTTTCGATCTCTGTCGATGTATGACTTACCTCTGCTGTAGTCACTTGGAACATCATAGCGAGCGTCTCTTTCATCTCGTGGGTCCTCCCGTCGATCATCTCGTCGGTCATCCCGGCGGCCGTCTATGCGATCATCACGTCGATCGTTTCGGCGGTCAGAGCGTGGAGCATCAAGTCGTGGAGCATCGGAGCGCGAGGCGTCGGAATGTGGAACATCAGACACAGGAGCATCAGAGCGAGGGGCATCCATATCCACGTCCATTATGTCCTCTCTCGCGTCAAAGCCATAACTGCCATCCTGGAACTCGGGATCTGCCCGTCTTCTGTTGCGATCCGATTGTTCTCTTTGAATATCGTAAGAAGGCGCTGGATCACGGGTAAGGTCGATACGAGGTCCTCTAGGCTCTATGGGTGTCTTGCGAAGAGGTGCCAAGGCAGGGGAAGGCGTGGGTCCTCCTACTTTCATGTATACGTATAGGATACGACCGTCCGCCTGATTCACGCATTAGCTCGAATCTTGGAAGTTTTTGCACATTTTGCCATACCTTCTTGTTGTTGAATGTTGAAATGACGCTCTCTGCATTATGCTTTTCGGCAAAGACCATCTCAGCCATGACTGTTGGTGTAGAGCTAATGATCCTGCAACTCTGCATCTCACCTCCACTAGGTATCATAGCAGATTCGATGTCGGCAGCTGTAGTTCCAGGAGCAAAGTTGCTGCCAATGACCACGTATGGACCCGCTGTTCCTCGTATGCTAATCTCCTCACCTAGGCCACTGGACGCCACGCCATTGCGTGGTGTTTGAGTCACAGCAGTGTTAAAGAGGAGATCATCTTTGGCCTGACGTAACATAGGGTTCCCTCTGGGTGGTCGAGTGATGCGCGGTGCTCTATCATGGCCCCAGGTACCCTCAATATTTGGGCTCGCCTTTGGAGTGGATGATGAACGCTGAGATGCCTTTGCTTCATATCAGCACCCTGTACCATCGCATACAAGTGTCTTGTCGTCCAACATACTTTTGCTATACCGACTCTACTTGCAAGGCTGGGGCCAGCGCCAGACTTGCGACTGCCGTTGTTTGGAGCGTTTTTGCTTCGTCCTCGCCCAAATATTTCTTCCGCCAGTCTCTGTTTCTCTCGTCGTCCTTGCCCAAGTATATCATTTGCGAGTTTCTCTTTCTCTTTGCGTTGACGCCCTTGCATAAGGTCAACACGAGCAATCGAAGCTCAGAATACTCCGTGCTTACCAGCTTGAATAATTTGGTCAAATGAGACGACGCCTTGGTTTGCCGCCATGGCTGCTGTACACCGAGACTCGCCTGTAGATTAGTTGCGAGACTCGCACATATCAGGCGACCCTTTAGACGTTCTGACTAATTGTCGTTGTGAAGATGGTGTGTAATTGCAAAGATGTCTGAAGTTTGAGCTCCAGAAATGGAAGTAAGTAAGGCTGTGTGCTAGCCGGATGCGGCTCGCTTTACCGCTTTACCGGATGAAGTAATTCACCTGCCCGCCGCCGCCCTACCTTACACTTTCTGCTGCCCTCCTCACGGGTTCAGGTTGCCCTCACAAGTCCATGACTCTTAGATGCTCCCTCCCCGTCAGTGTGAAAACACCTTCGTTTCCTGCTCTTCTGGTAATCTGGTCACTGTTTCCATGCTTACCGGACCTCGACCAGGCTCCTACGGAAGCGAGGCGGTGCAATTGCCCACGATGGCACCTGGCCTGTTGAAGGGCTCCTGGCCCTTTCCACTCCCTCTCCTCCCTTCTTCTTTACCCTCTGCCTCTCTATTCGACCCTGGGCTTTCTCTCGCACCTCGCATCCTTCTCTTCCCTACCTTCCTCCCGTTTTTAGTGTCCATCTTCCGACACCACAATGGGCGTCTTTGCATTCCAGCACGCGTACCCTAAGACAGGTGACTGCTCAGTGGGCGAAAGCGACGACGAATAGGCCGAGTTTGACATCGACTCAGAAGCCTTTGACGCAGAACTTCTGGAGCTGAAGCAGGAGCTGACCAAATCGGGGCCGGAAAAGGCACAGCGAGACCTGGCAGATGCCATTGTTGCTGCACAAGAAATGACCCGGCAGAGATGGAAATGGTATGTCTCGAATCATTCATTGTCCCAGCTGTGCCTTTGCCTATCGACCGCTGAGGCTGAATCAAGCTGCTTTTCCTCTACAATAGGTACTGCGACTTTGCGCGCAAGGTTCACCTGAAATTGCTCAAGTCCTGTTCAATCATGTCCTTTAAAGGCTACCTCATCTGGTACCACAAGACACACCCTCGCGCCCAGAGTTTGAATACGTACGAAAGCGTGTGGAAGACCTTGCGTCAATTGTACTACGAGGTATTCCACAAGGTAGCGGCCGATGCTGTTGGCAAAGAGATCACCAATGTAAGTCGTCTTAGGTGCTCTCGAACAGGCGGACTTGATCTGACCGTGTACGCAGCACCTCCACGCGCAGTTCTGCAGTGAGCGTGGCCTGATCAAGGGCATGAGACAAAAGCATGTCGTCGGTCACAACGGCCTCCACGGCGCGCTTTACTACCATTGGAAATTTGATACCGATAAAGTTGCTCTTAAACTGGAACGTGTGCAACTTGCCACGAGGCTCCTTTTCCTGGCCTTCACCAGCGCCCGATCTGGCGCTATCTTCGAGAGTGGCTGCGAGGGGATTGTTGGGACGAATGCCGCTTGACTCTACAGAGATGCAAAGCCAAGGCTCTTACAGCCGCCGGACGAAGCGTCGCTACTGGTCCTGGAGGTCACCATAATGTTGGATAAGGGCAAACCCAAGCGGAATGCGTCGTAAGTCTCCCCGCGCAACGAGGCTTGTGTTCACTACTGAAAGCGCTGGAAAGAAAACCATCACCCTTTACGAGTACCATACATGCCCTGCGATGTGTCCTTTCCTTCATTTTGTGGCCATCGCCTTCGCCCACAACGCTTTTCCCCAGGCTTGTCTCTACCGGGCTGACCTTATATACCTTGCACAACTTCTCCAGCCCAGACGACCGCATTACCATTGACTTCGCCTTCAGGGACGACATCCTTGAGGTCCCCATCTTCCGCCGCTCCACACTGTCAATGGAGGGTGTACACGATGATCCTCTCAAGGCTCTCCCCGCCAATTCAATTTCGTACTGGATCAGGAGATCAGGCCAAAGAGCGGGCTTTGATCATCCTCTCCAGCCTTATGCTCTTCGGCATGAGGTGGGAACGGAACTGACGGGTAAGTTTGAAGGCTGAAGCGTCTTGCACATACTCGTCAATGACGTTATTTTAGACCGCGGAGTCAGTGATCAGCAGCGTAATCAAATCCTCGGCCACGCCTGATCGGATACGTTTCTCAAACATTACATCTCATCGAACGTGGTTATCGATGCTCAGGCCACCTTTCTCGGTACTACATCGAAGTCAGACTTGATCAAGGAGATCGGAAAGCTCTGCTTGCGCCGCGACCCCAACCTTCCAAAGCGGCTGACAGAGGATCAGCGCACGCAGGCTCATCAGCACCCTGATGTCGTCCGCGCTAAGAAACAAAAGGACGCCCTAGCACAAAGGCTCCAGGATGGCCCTGGCTCCATCAAGAACGGTTCGAAGTCGCCTGACGGCATTCAGCATACACGGGTGCAAAGCAAATTAAGAGGTCTGAAGCTCCGCGTGGAACGCGATGTTTTCGCACAGATCCTTCGTGAATTGCACAGTGCCGCGGACCTAGATCACATGGTGACACAGCTCAATGGAGAAGAGTCCACTTCTCGCTCCCATGCCACATATCTTAGAAGAACGCAGGCAGGTCGCTCACCATTTGTTTCAATCGGCGACCGAGTCCTCCTTCGCCAACATGGTTGACATCGTAGCCCGCCTTTATTCACTCTTCGAAGGTAAAGACCGGAGATGCAACAACCACGAAGGGGACGTTGTGGATAAGACCAACAAGCCATCTACTTGCGCACAACAATCCCCACCAGCGATCGACGAACCTCTGCACAGCACCGACTCTATCGAACCTGCTATGGACATTCATACCGTCAAATCTCTCAAGGAAGCTATGTTCACTAAAGTTCTTGAACCAATCAAGTCGATGAAACCGGTCACATCTTCTAAGATCACCAAAGCAAAGGAGCCACCTACTTCCCTGGCGTGTCTTTTTTTTACTACGGCAACCCAAACCGTAGGCGGACGCAGAGTCTCACACGCAGCGATAGTTTGCGAAGGCACTCTCGTCAAGTACACTTTCAATACAAGGTCGGCCTGTTTCCATATCCACTACCAAATCGTATAAAGATCATCCATGATTTAGACCACTTCGCCAATCATGCAGTCACTATGCATAAATCTGACCTCGGAGTTCGGGCTGTCATTGTGGGCCACTTGCCTCATTGACTCTCACATAACATATGAAATCGTGTTATGCTTCTTTTCTATACGTGGTGGATGTTAGATTGTGAATGGATTTTCTTCTGTTTATTCAAAGTGGCCGAGAGTAGCTTGTTGTCGCTTTTACTGTTGACTTACATTACGCTACGCGGATCTTGGTGGCGATCCTTTAATTGAGAGGGAAAGGGTGCTGGAAGGAGGGTCGTTTCTCCGCTGCAGTTTACTGTTCGCATCACCGACATTTTGTCGATATCGATATGCTGATAGCCTTGTACCTCCTGTGGGATAGAGAAAAGAAGCTCTGTTCATGACTTACGATACTTAAATTTGTTCGACTTCAACCCGTCTTTGACATCCAATATTCGAAATGATTGGGTTTCAACTGAAACGATTGTGCAGAGATTCAGCACGAAAGCAACGATGCGACTTCATCGCAATCCCCGCGAAACGCGAGGTCTAGAGGAACTTTCAAACCGGATGGTGGTGCGTCCCTGTTGATCCATACGGTGAATCCCTCAGCTTTTGCGGCGCGATAGAGCTCCGTCACCAACATACTCGATCCAGGCACATTTAGAGCTGCTCCCACCACGAAGACCACTTCTGGGCCCATCCCCATGTCTTTCTTCGTCATTTCTCCAATCATATCGCCTCTCGGGTTTTCTTCTCCATAGTGAACGTCGTTCGGAGGAAGTCTGCCGACACCAAGTCGTCGTTTCCCCTTCTTGTCTCGCCCCAGCGAAATCTCTTGGCACCGAGTACAGTCCGGAAGATCAAACCCACAGAACGAGTTGGACACCAGATGTCCATTCCAGCCGTAACATTGGTACATCGCCTTGTCGATTCGTTTGTGGAGCTGCACGGTTTTTCCCAAGAGATTGGGAAGACGATGCTCGATGCAGCCAATGTTCTGCGTGTGATCTCGAAGGAGATAACCTTTATGGGCGGGTCCGTCTCAAGAAACGATAAAAAGGGTCAGCTCCGCCTGGACAGAGAGAGCCTGGACATATCGCAGACCATCGCATGAAAGCGGTCCGTGTCGATCGGGGAGTTGCAAACGGATATATCAAAAGAAATCCGCGTTGACTTTTGTAGGTTTTGAAATATCATTAACTTTTAGAAAAACGTCAGACTCGCTGGAGCCGAAGCAAAAAGAAAAACTCACTGCCTGCATTGACAGAAATTCCAGCGCCGCTGACGACCACGCTGCACATCAGTATCCAATGCGAATAGAGATCTCCTCAGTCAATTTTGCTATCCTTTGACGGTGACCTTCAATGCGCTCATCTTGCTGAAAAAGAAGAGCATCCCAGTGGGATATGTTATCTTGATCATTATGCAGCTCCCTTCCCAGCCCCACCCCCACCACGTTTTGAATGTAACAATCTTCGAGGACGTCTTGCTCTGCCTGTAAGCTAAGAAGCTCTCCCTCGCATGGTAGTGGCCCTCGATTCCCTTATCCACAACTGTCCAGTCTAAGTCTGAATATCTTTCCTTTACAGCCCACCTGGACATTTGTTTGCAAGCTCTTTGATCGGGGCTCTGATCCTGAAGTCGCAGGCAGCCAAGCCATACTGAAAGCCTCTGTCAAAGGGAGCCAAAACTGCAGTGCGCTCTAAGCTTTGTCCATGAAGGTCGCTGAGGTTAGGGAAATAGCTCTTGGCCGGGCTGCAAGGTTTTAGATTGAATCCTCTGCCATGGACAAGACCCAGGGTAACTGCGTGGATAACATTATCTTTCGGAATTCTCTACTCAGACAAGTATTCATGGTCATACTTTTTGAGTTTCTCTTCATCAGATGTTGACTTTGCTGCCAAGTTTCGAGCGTTATGGATCTTTGCAGGTGACAGATCATACCTTGCAACAAATGCAATTGTAATGTCGTCTAAATCTTCCTCTTTGTGTGCCTTGGAATACCTTGCGGCATGCAGAACTCTCCAAAAGTTCGAGGTTGTCGAAGCTAGGGCAGTCGGCTGCTCAACCCATCGTTGTCGATGCTGTCCAAATTCATCATGTAATTGTTGTCCAGTCAGCTCGTGAGCTGGCCAGCCATGTGACAACTTGCTACACGTCAGCCCTCCAGCACTCGTCGATGACCAAAAGCGAAACATAAACGACGCCAGAAGGCTACATTGTAGTCGGTGAGGAGGCGAGAGAGAATAGCCTGATGTGCTCTAGCATGATTGTCGTGAATGGGGAGGCCCGAGCTCAGGGGGCTCAATTCTCACGGCTTGGATTCTAGATAGCCTAGATTACGATGAAAGCAATACCCATATCGTCCATCGGCATTTTCTCAGAATTTACTCTAGATCTGATTCATCTGAATCACACACATCAGAGTATAAATGTAACCGAAATCTTGGGGCTAAAGCGACCGGTGGAACCGCCTGAGAAGCAAATTTTATGATATACACACAACGTGCACGTAGCTCTAAATACGATTTATCTAGCTCGCAAGGACTTTCAGCGAATGAAGCTTATGTTGAGCCTCAAGCCCCTAACGAATCAACTTGGCTCTCCGTGCAGTACTCTATACTCCAACGATACGACCTAAGACACTCTTGAATGTTGGATAGGAGGGGAGAAGGTGATATGTAAAGAAACTCGAACCCTCAACCATTCACATACCGCGTTCAAGTTATCATCTAGACTGGCCATAGCATTTTGGATGTCCTGCTTCCTTTGAACACCGTAATCTAATCCCATATAGCTCCGACTTTATAGTCACGATGGAAAGATGATACATCGTAAGGGGCGTAGGCACGATTTCCTGATAGCAGGAAAAGTCACTACGACGTGTTTGAGGCCGTATCTCGCTATATGAAAGCTATAGCGGTAACCACGTCGGCGTCGAAGTACTCTAGGCCAACCGAACGAGACTGGTAGCTCAAGCGGAGCCTAAGGTAAGTAGCTAACTCAGCGAATGCTCTGAAACATGGAAACTTTAAATTTGGGCATTCAGGCAGCAGTCCAGCACTGGACGCTTTCTCACCTGCACTGTGCACACAAAGGATCCGCGTCTATTTTAGCGCGTGTTTACAATACTGTACGGTCGTACCTGACTTCCTCAACTGAACTTCGTATTCTCTCATCCATTTCAACTTCTTCAAATGCTTTCATAGGCTTCCTTTTGCATTGTTCGTTGGTGGTCGGTGTTTCGCTTTCTTCTCTTCTTGGATTTTTGGTCTCATCACATTCAATCCGTCTTTCCACTTGTTCAAGCTCCATCAGCGTACTTGAAAATCAACGCCATGGCTTCTATTCGCAAGAAATTGAGTATGGCGCTGGGCATGAATGGCAAAGGATCGCCCTCTACAAGCAAAGCCAATAGTATGGACGTGGACAGAGGCTCTATTGACTCCGGCTATCACAGCATGATCGCTAAGCACAAACGTCAAAGTCAAGGCAGCATCATTCAAGGAACCACTTTCATAACCTCGGGCGCCGAAAGTTCTCCGGAACGTTCTCCAAGAAAGCTGCATAAAGCCATCTCAACGACTTTCTCAGGAGCAATGCAGGCCTTCTCTAACACCGTCCGCTCTACGACCTCGTACATATATCCCACCGCTGGCGAGCCCGAGCTTCCTTCAAGTGAATGGGCTGAGTGTGAGACACCAAAGAAAGAGAGCCGCCGATCTTCCATCATGTCTTCTGTTCGACGGCGGAAGCAACGATTCACTCCACGAGCACCAGATGCCAACATCGAGTCCCCAGAACTACCGCAATCACCCGTGCCAGTGACACGGGAGAAGGCACCGGCGCTTCACGTGGAGTTTCCCAACCCTTCTTTCAGTTGTGAGTCCTTGGGGAGTGCCTCATTATCCAGAGGATCACAATGGCTTGCTGGTTTAAAGCTACCCGCAGGACCAAAACATCTGTGGCCAGGCCCTACAAGATTGACCGTTGACCAAGCCTCGGGTAATGACGGACAGGAAAGTATGCATCCTGTGCCCTCGAATTTCGATGATCCATACGTCGAACAAGGAGATAGACTTCAGCACGGTCTTTCCTTCATCACCTCAGCATCCGAGTCGGCCTGGGAGTCTTCACTTCCAGAAACCAACAAGCGTCCCCCCAGTGATGACAAAGGGTACTTTTCAGAAGTGGAAAGCAATGCCGATGTTTCCGAGTCTGATGGATTGGCCCCAGCCTGTCTGAAATATGTAATACCGGGGTCGCCAGAGGCTAGAACCAGCTCACCATGCTGCCATAAGGATCCTGCAGCGCCTCACGTCCAAGTTGCGTCGTCTGCATCTTCATGTCGGAGGACCATCCCGTCTCGGATGTCTCCTTCAGTGCTATTAGGGTCGAAGCCTTCGAAGCTGGAGACTTTAGACGGCACTGCCGAACAGACAGCATCGCCGCACTCCCCAAGCTGGACATCTAGCCCTCCCTGTGCCGGTTTCGAAGACGGTCTTAATGCTTTATTCCCTTCATACGAGGATGCGATGACGCCGGAATTGAGATTGCTCTACAAGCGGCTGCAGTCTGATGCCTATGACGCTGACGCTGAGTCGTTGGAGTCGAGCATGGGCTCTCGAGCTGCGTGGAAGCGTCATCGAGCAGATCGCGAGAGAAGATATATGGAGATCATCGACATGGCCCTAAACACCGAGTCTGATGAGGATTTGGGACCTGAATTAGAGTTAAAGAGATCCCCCTCAAAGAAGCCAGTGCACTACGCAGAGGAGTTGGTCCAGGATACGGTCAGCATTGGAGGGTCTGAATCCGTACCAAGATATCCAACCGGCGCTCTACGCTACGCTATTGAGGCTATCGAAAGGCCAACTTTTCCTGTTGGTGATTTGGCCTATGCGGTGGAGGCAATCGAAAGGCCGGCTTTCCCTGTTGGCGATTTGGCCTATGCGGTGGAGGCAATCGAAAGGCCATCCGTTACGACATTCGATCCTCTAGAGACGGTGTTCCAACAACGGCCCATGTTACGTCTGAGTGATACAATCGACGAGCAAGAAACCTTACAAGTGTCTGACCCTCAGGATTTGTCGCCATCGCGCATGGAGGCCCCTTCGTCGCCACCTACAGACTTGTCTCCCTCGCGAGTGATGCTCCCATCGTCTCTAGAGTCTTCCCCGGTCGAAATCCCAGCAGCTCCTAAATTCACGATGACGACTATGACATTTACAGACGAAGAGCTTCTGACTTTCGGAGCAGGCAACCTTGACGGGCAACGCGTTCGTCAGTTCTCTTCTGAGTCTACTGATGTATCTGCAAACTCCTCGCCCGAGCAACAGTTCCGTATGGCACCAGAAGATGCCTATGAAGCAGGCCTGAAAGCTGGGGGTCTTTTCACTCCGACGTACTTGTCACGATCCTCGAAGACAAGCCCGGTGAGAGAAGATGCTTGCGAAGCTGGGCCCAGAGCTGATGGTAATATTATGCCCACAGGCCCTTCGGATGTGGTGCAGGCAAGGCCTACGTTCGCAATGGACAATTCTTATGAAGGCGATCTCAAAGCCACCTCCCCTTTCACTCCGATCTACAAAGAGACCAGCCAGTGCACTTATCGTGAGCAGTTGGAGGCTGAATCTACGTTGCCAAAGCCACGATCGCGAAACGGTACTCCTTTCGGGCACAGCAGGACGGTATCAGCTTTTAGCGATGATACAGACGATAACTGTGCGATCACGACGCACAGTCCATCGTGCAGTGTTCCATCACCATTCCCAAGTCTCCATGTCCGATCAGAGCCTGCACGTCGCATTCCAAGTGCCATTGATGCATTAGCCGCACATGGTGATGAGCAAATACGCATTGCCGGACCCGCAAATGCTGGTATCAACCCTTCACCACCGTCACCTTTTGATGATCCTGGAGACCAAACCGACGAGGCTATATCCAAGCTTTTCTCCCCTAAGACCTCGGAGGGTGCAAAATCGCCCAATAGCTATGCTCAGGTGACGGGGGTAGAGCTGCATGACCTTCAAAGTCCATCGCCAGATACGACGAGTAGCATACAGTCTCCAAGCAACAGCAACACTCCGCAGGAGACGTTCAATGCGGCCAAACTGCCGAGCTTTGTCTCGCCTTCTCTTAGCGCGTCCAGGAAAGCTCGTCATAAACAAAAGAAGAGCTCCAGTGGTATGGGAACCGTTCCATTGACAGACCTTACAGGGCATACCAGAAACATCATTTTAGAGCCGGACTTTAGCCCCTATAACTATGAGCTCAACAAGCACAGCGCCTTCGGTGAAACGCAAACGTCACTCGGTGAAAGCGCTAGGATTGCAGGAGGCAGTGTTCAGACGCCTAGCCCTAATTGCCAAATCGGCAGGAAGAATCCACGTGGCAGAGGTCAAACATCGCCTGAAGAGTCTACTGAGATAGTTGGAGGTAGTTTCAGGTGGTTGGATCCCAGCTCAAAGTCCAAGGGGAGCAAGAAGAGCCCTGGCGGTACGGGGCAAGTAACTGCAACATTGCCCATTACGTCTAGCCCTCCACGAATGAAGATCCTCCGAGCCAAAGGTCAAGTGTCATCTGGTGAAAGCAGTGAGAATGCAGGAAATGCTGTCAAGGGCTCGACGTCACGCTTTGAGCCCGAATTCAGCATCAAGCATTTTGATTCAATGAGTGATGTTCCTCCCTTATATGCCAATCGAAAGTCAGGTGGCACCTCGTATGCCGGTCACGAATTAGACAGCGTCCTCCAGACAAATCCCTCTGTGTACTCCCGCCACGAACTGGGCGAAGGCCTTCAGCAGGACTGTGATGATAAGGCAGCACACTTTACCCGCGACAATGAGACCATTGGCAACGACAGTGAATCAGGCAAGGATGCTCCACGTGCTCGAGGTCAGAAAAAGAACGGCAAGCCGCCTCCGGAGGCAGAGAAGAAGCTTGCGGTGCAAAGGGAGCTTGAACGAAAGTCGGATCGCGCATGCAGTCGGCTCGTTAGCAAGCTGAAGAGCGGGGCTCTTAGGGAGGATGATGTTCCCGAGGACAATTCAGCTCACGAAGAAGGAAGACCTCCCTGGCGACCTTAAATTGAGACTCATGAAGCACGGAAATTGGATGCGTCAAATAATGGTCTTGGCTCCAATACTATACACTCAGAATCCTCAAGTCTGGTAGTATATGTGCTCCGAACGACCCTTTGTCTTTGTTCCTGAGGTATGAGTTATGAGAGTATGATAAATGAATTTTACTACTGTATGATTAGAAGGCAGCCTCACGATGATAGGTTTGTTTTGTTTATTTGAGGTTAGCACCGCATGAAATACGAAGTAGGAGTCCCATAGCAACGAGCAGCATAGATGCCCCTGGTATAGAACAGCATGGCGTGGGATGGGTAGCGTGGTGTTTCACTGCATAGCTTCAGAGGACTTGGGGTAAATATCGAATTATTAGTATCTGGAATCATGGTCAAGAAGGGAGTGTTCGTGTTCAAGTGATGCTGCAGTCCCAATACCTCCCCTTCCTTAATCAAGGTTCTTCAAAGCTTTGATTTGGCAAGAAGTACCTCCAACGACCGACTTCTCGAAGGACTCGTAAGGAACGTCATTTGCTGTTTTAGGGCATCGTGTTTCCGATGCGAATTCCAAATCTTGCGTCTCTCTCTCTTTCTTGCCAGATCTTCCATTGTGTGTGGCAATGCTCGGGTTGATACCTCAAGTTTGGCTGTATATCTCACTTACTATCATTTTTCCTCTCCCATAAGTTGTTTGTACGCTCAGCGCATGGAGCATCCACTCTCACAGTATACACGTCTGTCTCTGGCGAAAAGGCCCGCCGCTTTGCCAGTCAACATACAGCACCGGTGCGAATCAATAATGGCAAAGTGGTCACTACCAGAAGCGCCGAGTATCTTGTATTCACAGACCTTTCGTCTCCATCATCGGATGGATCAGCGCTGTTTCCTGCAGAACCCGCAACGGTAGCTCCCACCTTGACGGTCGCCTCAATCTTGGCGAGCAGGTCGTCTTCGCGTTGTCGGCCGCCGATCTGGGGCTTCCAACGGCTCGAATTGGAACCCACGAGTTGGGAGACCACCGATAGGGCTCGTGAACAGGGGTTTCGCTATTCCGTAGAGAGCGTTGCCTCCGGTTCTGCTCCTGCAGGATGGGGTCCCGTTTCGCGGGCCAAGATTCGTAGCCATGATCGTAATTTTCCGGTCGAGGCTGCTCAAGGAGTGTGGGGTGGTAGTTGTACAGTCTACCTATCTGCAACGCGACAGCTCGATTGAGTGGGGAAAACAGTCGATCTCGAATGACTTGTACGGCGCTGAAAAGTGGTTCCCCGGACCGCCGTGTCTCAACGCCGGCGAGTTGCAAAATCTCGGTACACCATGGGCAATCATCGTAGACATGGACGAGCTTTTGCGTGTGAGTACCATCTCATCTGATGAAACCTTGAACTTCATAAGCAGAAGTGTGACGCAGCGTACGAGTAGGTAACGCTTTTTCGGAACGGATATTTCAGGAACAAGTCATTCTTTTGGTTTGATACCCATTGGCCGTAACTTTGGGAGGCTTCCGACTGCCACCTGGTGACTAGAGCTCACCCCGCCTAGGTACGGGACATACTACCTTACTCGTAAGATAAGGTAAGTGTCGCTCTTGAGCTTCCCTTACGCCTATTAGCGTATGCACAAAGGTCCGGTGTCCTTGGCGCTGAGAAAATCGCACACACCCCACCAAGAATAGTGGTGAATAGCTTCATGTTCTTCTTTCCGACCTTCCATCACCCATAGCAAGCGAAGTTCCTGTATACCTCGCTTAGCGATATCTTAGTATTTTTTTCTTCACTCACAATACCTACAGACCTCCCCTCATTCATTCGCTCGAGAATCGTGCCCTACCTACTCCATTCAAAACCCGAAGTCTTAGAATTAGATATTAAAAAATTGGGTAAGCGAGGTATATAAGAACTTCACTTGATATGAGGGTAGCAATAGAATTATGATATTGGAGAAGATGAAGCTACTATTTACTACTATTCTTGGTGAGGTGTGTGCGATTTTCTCAGCGCCAAGGATTCCGGACCTTTGTGCATACGCTAATAGCATCCCGCTCCCGTTCCCGAAGTGTATTTCAGCTTAGAGTAGGGATGTGATTTTACATGTAAGGCCATGTGCCTTACAGTAATTACAGTAATGTAAGGCAAAAACTGCGTGACAGCGTGTAAATCATGTAAAACACTTAGTAATCCTTATGTAAGCCTTCTGATTGGTCAAATCCATGGTCTTAGCAATTCTCTGCGGAGCCTCGGGAGAAACTTTGCCTTCTCTATTCAAATCCACCTTTTTACAGTCATCCTTTCACCATTGCGCCTTCTACCAAGCAATACAAGAGACCAGACGGTCTGGAATGCCTTCATCGAGTCTCCTTCAGGGGCTTCGGCTATGCTTACCAGCTGCAAATTTTGCACCAAATATTCGAATCTTGCCGTCAATGGCACGGAAATGGTACCTCCCAATAGGAGGCTTTCAGGCCAAATATTAAGTACCTACTAGCGCCCTACTAGCGTGACCGTCAGGCTCATGTGTCTTACAGTAATTACACGTGTAATTACTGTAAAGTGTAATTACTGCAAAGTCAAAATCACATCACTAGCTTAGAGTACTGTGATTTACTTCCCCAGATAATAAATACAACAAAGCGCTTCTCTTCGCCTATAGGCTATGTACCATCTGTGACCTTACAATCTGATTTGCTGGACCTCATTTACACCAACAGCCTCTAATCCAGTGTGTCACGGAATTTGAACCAACAATGGCTACGAATGAACAAGCACTCGATCAGGTTCCACCACTTGAAAAGGAGCTGGACGAAGCCAGCATCATGTCCTCCCTTGCCCGCCTGCAAGAGGTCCATATTTCCGTAAGGCATTATCTACCTCTATAGATAATTTTTCGCACTAATTCGCTGATTGCATGCCCTACAGCTTCGCAACCTTCGTGAAACAATCCCCAAAGTCATGGATTCCGTCCTAGTCGACCCCCTCTCTCCAGACCAGCTACACTCGAATTTCTCTCAAGCAGCCAACGGTGCCGCCCAAGCCATTAAGCATTTCACACAACTAATGGAAGACAGCGGGACCAAAGAGGTGATGGAAAGGGCCAAAGAGAGTAGGACGGAGAACGGCGAAGGCATCACAGGGTGGAAGGTCATAGAACATGAGGATTGGCTCGATGTAAAACAGGAGGATGGCAACGATGATGTTGATAAAGAGGAAGAAGGTACCGCCGAGGCTGGTGACGCTCTCAGCTTGAAAGACGTGAATGAGGCGCTGGACAAGTTTCGTTCCGCACACGTGGGCCTCGAGGCTTCATTGATCGAGGATTCAAGGATGGTGACTGTAAGTTGTCTGCGTGGTTTGATTTTAGATGAGTTTTGCTAAATCGTGCAAGCTCCATCTACCCTTGCCAGCTCAAATCAATTTCCAGATTCAGCTCAATACCACCCCTGAAGGACCTAACAATTACAGCGTTGACAGCAAAGACAAATCAAAACTTCACAGAGCAATTCTTGAGGCAATCAGAACGCGTCCTAGACCAAACGATTTGAATGATCTCCTCGTATGTCTGAAGCTAGCGCCTACTTATCTATGCCATGCTAACCAGGTGCTCAAGGAAATGCTGGCTTCATACTTGGACATCAAATCAAGACCCTGCGTGAAGTGTTCCCGGCTGCTCGACCGCAATGCTCAGTTCCCGATCATCAGATCAAGGAAAAGGACCAAGCAACCTGATGGCCGATTTGCAAGCCAGTGGCTGGCCTTGCACGCAGCATGCAACTAAGCCTACTCGTCAGGCACGCCATCATGGGGTGCCCATAGTCTCAGCGGTCAGGAGGATCCCATCTTCCGTTCGCGCTCCGTACCCGAACTGGACAATGGGGCTTGGTCCTGGACCAGTCAACATTGCTCCAGACATGGTCATGAGGCCTGCGGTATCTTCGAGTCGCGAAGTCGTACTTGGTGTCAGGATCTCTGCGTTGGAAATCAAACACACCGACGAACTCTTCGTCCTGCCGAAAAGGTTTGCCACGATTGTCCCAGCGAACGTTATCGCTGTTGGGATGCTGGTGTCCCCGCGTCTTCCAATTACTCCAAATAGGTCGCTCAGGCTGACGAGTGTTCTGTTCTGCGATGAAGATGTCGGGGCCTTTGTTGCTGAGGATGTCTTTCCATCTACCCCATAAGCCTCGATGCTTGTCGTTCGGCCATACGAATTGCCATCTGTTGTCTTGTCTCCACGAGCTGCTAGGGCTTGTTGGTGTTCGACTGGGGCTCCATTGTGGGTCCTGGGATGATGAATCGCTCGAATTTGTTCGTGGAGGGCGGCGCCTGTTGTACTCCATGCTCTATGGGGAGACTGGTGAGATATCTGAAGTGCGATTGTGGCAGATGTGATGCTCTTAAATATGTATAGATTTGATTCACCCAAACATTGCCTTGTCCAACATTTTGATCTCCTGGTGTTTGGACGGATACAAGGCAAACATCTCAAGCCTTGCAGCTTAAGTACCTGGGCTCACGCGCACAATCAGGCAACATTTTCTCGTAAGTTATCGAAGTTTGTCCGAATCACGAAAACAAGACTCGGGTGAGCATCGGAGAGCTGATCCGAGGCCGCCATCCTTTGCTGTTTCTTTTATCGTCACTTGGGTGCGGTCAGGCAAATTCGGGAGCAACGCCCGAAGGAATTGATACCTTCGTCCGTGGTGCATTGCAGACTGGAACATCTAACATTGATGAGATCTTTCAAGACTTGAGATTAGATCTACTCACAATTGCTCACAAGAGGTTCAATGCTAAACAGAATCTTCACCTTCACCTCAATGTGCGCGCGATGTACACCTTGGTGGCCGATGGGCTCCGTAGCTCTCGATTGCATTGCTTCCATGATGAAATTGCGCTCTAGAAGAAGTCACAATGAAGGTCGATGATATTTCGAGACACTTCTACCAGTGCGCCTCCGTTCGACCATCCACCCACCAGACCTTCCAGTCTCATAGTCCAATCTCACTACCGTAGTAACCCTATCACTCCTTCGCCCCCCCCCGCACACCCTCGTTCACTACAACTTTCTCACAACATCACCAGTAAGCTATACGCTTCGATCCATCTCATTGAGCAATTCGCCACATTCACAAGCTCAGACTCGTCGACCATACCTCATTGCACGGGCTCATCAAGCTCCAAACACCACCAAACCCATCACCCTGATCATCCGTCGCCCGAGGCCTTGGACTATGGCCTGACCCTCAGAACCCATCGAGCAAACCACGCAACGCCATGGCCGCCGACGCAGAAGCCTACCGGCAAGCTCAACGCTACGGTCGTGCTCCCATCAGAGTGCGCACCGAGCAGAGCGCAGATGTGGGTCCGTGGTAGCAGAGCTCATCGAGCTTTGGTTTTGACGGACCGTTCACCGGGCCATTCGGGTCGAGAGTGGTGGACGAAGGATGGGCGTTCGAAGCGGACGGTGAAGGAGTTGCGCGGAAGCTTCTGTGGTCCGTGCAACAGTTGGTTGAGTCTCGAGTGGGCGACTGGATTTGATGTACTTGGGTGGCATGTCGGGGTGGTTACGGGGATGTTTCTTCCGGTAGAGATCGCAAAGATGATGCTTGGCGCCTTGTATCCTCGCTCGGAATCCGAGTTGGACCTCTGAGCGAGGGGAAGAGGTGGGAGAATGAGGGATTGGAGAGAGTGGGAGAGCGGACTGCAGAAAGTGCTGCAGCTTGATGAAAACAGTGGACGTCGAACGGCACGATGGGCTTGCTCTGTGTGTCAACAGCATGAGCTGCTTCCTTGGCTGCTAGTATTATAGAAAGCTTGCCGGAAAACACGTGCTGCTCTCTCGAGGCGCTCTTCCTTGCTTCTGTCCGCGCACCGCACATCGATTGTATCATCCGTGACTACGTAGATCTTTGCTGAACTTGTTGGTTTCCGCACGGCTTGAGGAAAGGTGCGTGATGCTTCCCGAGGGCAGTGATCTTTGGCCCCAAAGCGCTCTAGCAGGCATCGAAAGAAAAAAATAACACAGAGATTATGGGGAGCATTGTAGGAGTACCCGACCCTTATGATCACGCATCGAATGTCTCGCACGAGATCAAGATGAGTATATGCAAGATGGTGGTGTTGGGTGAAAAGGGGGATGGCAAATGGCCAAGCGAGCCGGCAGGACTCTATATCAACACGACGTTGGTGAGGGTCCTACAGCACTGGAAAACTCATGGTGAGGGGAGGAAGAAATGGGCAACACACGGAGGAGTATGCCCACTTCTGTTCCCCATCTTTTCGCGCGGGTGGGAGAATTGTGGCAAGGTGGTGAGCCAAGAAAGTGTCCGTCGAAGTCCGGCGGAAGAGGTGCCTGGCTGTTGTATGTTTGGAGAGCAAGACACTCACTCAGATCACCAGCGCCCATCATGAAAGGAAGAGACGAGAACAGAAAACCAAAAAAAATAAAATTGGTTTGCGTAAAGCAGAGATGTGTTCCAAAGATTTTTCGCCTTCTTCTTGGTTTTCATTACATACCAGGTCGGCGAAGGGAGCTCGGCAGCGCTATATGCAGTACAAGACGCTAGCATGTGCTGAACTCCCCCAAACATTTGCCGGCCAAGGCTACTCCTGTGGAGGACAAATCCTCCGATAAGATACTTGGCTCCTATTTGGATATATAAACAAAAAATATTCAAATCATCAAGAGACCCCCAACCCAGCACCGATAAAGGGCCTTACCATCTCAATGCGTCAACATCGTGGTCGCTGTCGCCGCATCACAACTTATACCCACGTACACACACGCAGACATTTCTCCGTACCTGTCGACATCTTGCTGGCCTATCCCCAGTCAACATCAACGGGACATCTTCAGCACCAGGGCTCTTACCTTCTACAACGCGCCTCTGAGAACCACAACCACAACACCGCACCTTCCGCATGACTCTTCAGTCTTTGTCAAAACCGCTGGTACCCTACTGGTTCTTCCAGCCCTCGATATCAAATTGGAAGGCGCGATCGCGATCTGGCGCCACCGTTGCTTTGCCGGTCGCATCATACAACGTCCTCTCCACAAAATTGACTCGGCCTCGACGATCCACAAGCACAACGGTCTGCTTCTGGGTGCCGTACACACCATCAAATTCATGTTCCTGCTCTGCTGCTTTCGTCACGTTCTGAACATTGACATGCTGATCATTTTTCGCAGCAGCCAGATCCTCAGCTCTTGATTCCTCCGCGCCCTCACCTCCGATCGCCGGTATGAAAATGCTCTTGCGCAACTCCTGCACATAGCTATCCCATGGATAGTCTTTAGGCTTCCTAGGCAAAATGTCCTCACCCAGGATACGGAATAAATGTTCGGTGAAGCTGGCTTGAGATCTCTGCTCTGAGAGGTTCTGCTTTATGGCAGAAAACAAAAGCGCTTCTCCTCTGACTACTTTCGGCCAGGACCTGTTGCCAAAAGCTGCATTGCTGAGACCGATCGTTTCGTCCTTGTCTTTTGCAATCCAGACCGTGTCCTCGACGTTGGGCGTGCGATTTGAGATGACCGCAAGAGGCTCTCCAACCTTCCCACATACGAGGCTGAAGCCGCCGACACCCTTCAAGCCCTCATCCTCTACGAGATCGTGAATAAACCTTTCAGTGCCGTCCAAACTTTGAGGTTGAGTCAGGAACGCATTGACCATAGCACCCCTGCTCCTGGCTTCTGGCTTGATGGCGCCTTCTTCTCGAAAGTTGGTCAAGACTGCGACGCGGCCTTGTTTGGTGATGCCAAGCCATGTGCCTTGCTCCTTACGTTGGAGGTCACGACCCCCGAGGACATTCTCGTTGGGTGAAGCCCACCAATTAGCCGGCGCTGTTGGGCGGGCGAGGAACTCCTGGTGTGCTCTCAGCTAAAGGAGAGACAAGGCGTCGCACGGCATACATCACGGTTGTTGATCAAGATCAAAGCATAGTCCGGATGAGCAGTCGAAAAGAGGGCGATGCACATCCTTGCAGCAGTCGTGCCAGCACACCGTGCAGAACGCACCAAACGCTGCTACAGTTGAGGGGTAGCGAACCGAGTATGCCAACGTCAAAAGCTGGCGAGGTGCAGGGACTAGAAAAGGCGACGAATACCAGCTACGGGAAGATTACTGGCCCAGCAGGAGAGTTGGACACGGTGCTCGAGACTTCACAGGGGCAGCAAGCAAGCAGATTGACGTCGTCGAGAGGATATATGAGTCAAAGATGAAAGGTCCAAGATGACAAACTCCAAGAGATGCTACTTCATCGATACAAGAGCCAATCTCCAATCGTTCCTCCATTTGAATGACATGGAGTCTGCGGAGAAAGAGCGGCAAATCAGGCGTCAAGAGCGGGTACGGCGGAATATTTGTCGATGTACTTGCATCCACGCTAGCCTTTAGCGTAATCAGATTACTTTAGGTAGAGCGAATACTTTACAACTGCCTCCTGACTTCTACTCAAGCTTCAATAAATCTTGTACATGTTTCCATTCCCGGAGGACTATTGAATCCAGAACGAGCGTCTATCTGCACCTGCACCAGCACCAGTACGGAAGATGCCATCTGAAGAAGTAAGAGTCTTGGTCGTGAACGACACATTTTCTATATTGCAAGTCTCAATCGACAGCAAGCTTGAATTGACAGAGTGCCGATTGTATACTACATCGACACTTCGTACCTACGAAGTATTTACGTAGCTGATTATGGCAGTCGGGTACTTCTCGATCGATCAAGTAGTCTGTGAATACGTGGTCTGCATGTAGTTTTTTATAGCAATCTCATATCACTGAGACGAGTCCCTTCAACACCTGTCAAGTAAGAGGATGTAAATCAAGCATGAGAGAATTCCGATTCGCAACAGGAAAGCATTAAATGAAAAAACAAAAGAAACCCCCCAATCCCCTTTAATACCAAGAATCTTTGGGTGAGAATTGTCATTCTTTTCTGGTACAGCGCCTGAATTGAACGACTTCTACGATTTCTCTTCTGCAGGTAAAGTGACGGTGTTTTGGGAAGAATTGTGAAAATCATTGTTATTTCCTGGCAACTGTAGGACTTCTACAAGCTCATCAGGGGTCTTCGCCCTCATATGTATGCACGATTTTTGCTTGATCCACTCACTGAGCAAAAGCTAGGACTTAGCGTATCGGCAATGAATGATGACGACCCCTCACCATCTCGGAATGTGCCGAGGTAAGAAGTTGTTGTACCTTACCCCTGATCTAACATCTCTCCTTCTTTCTCTCAGCCCTATCAGAACGTCATCTGACCGTTATCGATAAGCACTGGCATCTAAGGCACCGTCATCTGCTCCGATATCACCTATCTACCTCTCTCTTCGCTCCATTGACATCTATCCAGCTTCTTATTTAATTGAGCTGAGTATACATGCAATCATGGGCCTGTTTGATATCGTCCCGAATCTACTTTCGTAAGTCAAATCATCAGCCAATGCCCCTCCTTCCCCACCTCGGCCCGTTTGCTGCGTGCCCAAAGCTTCCGTAGCACCTCAAAGCGATACCTGCGCTGACAAGGTCCGATCGGCAGTTCCATCATCACCATTCTCTTCCCAATCTTCGCCTCCTACAAGGCCCTTCGTACCTCTGACCCCGCTCAATTGACACCATGGCTGATGTATTGGGTCGTCCTCTCCTGCTTCTCTCTGGTTGAAAGCTGGACTTGGTTCATCCTCGCGTGGTAAGTCGTCAAAGCCTTTCGTTGAACCCCGAGTGAATGAAGCTGACAGTCTCCAGGCTACCCTTCTACTCCTCCCTCCGTCTCCTCCTCCTCTGCTACCTCGTCCTTCCTCAAACCCAAGGCGCAAGGTTCATCTACCAAACCCACATCCACCCGTTCCTCGCCCGCCACGAACACGACATTGACAATCTCATCATCTCCGCACACGATCGTGCCAAGTCCGCAGGTCTCACGTACCTCAAGCGCGCAATCGAGTTTGTGAAGGAGAACCTACTCGGGATCCAACCAAAAGCGACACCGCAGACACCGTCAAGCCAGGGAGGAAACTATGCGCAGAGTCTGTTGTCCAGATTCAACTTGCCCAGTGCAAGAGAGGGCTTGGCTGCCCCGGCAGGTGATTTCTACGGGCTGCTGAGTGCGGCGCTGGGAACGATAAGCGCTACGGGCGGCACAGGCAGCAGGGAAGTGCAGGCGGAAGACCTCAGTCGATCTGGCACATTGATTCCGCAGGGTATGACATCAGCCTCGGAGAAGATGACGTTCCTGTCTACGCAGAGGGATAGGCTGAGGGTTCTGTTGTCAGCGTTGGACAAGGAGGCGGATGGCTTGGGCACCGAGGCGGCCATTGAAAGGGATGTGGAAAAAAGGTTGACGGGAGAGCAGCTGGGAGAGGGGCTGAGAAAGAGTAGGAGTGAAGCGGAGTTTGAGGAGATTGGGAAGGACGACCTGAAGGGAGAGGGAGCGAAGCAGCAAGCGAGCGGGTGGATGCCGTGGGCCTGGGGTGCAAAGGGCGAGAGTGGAAACGTGACCAAAGGCAAGACCAGCGGCGTCGACGCTGGTACCTAATGGCAAACGTTCGATGACTACCTGCTCATGAGCAATGATAAGTATGCATTGGTAATGCTCCATCCGTCAGGTCCAATATATTTTTCATATCGCAACTAGAGATTACCATGTGTCCCTTCCTATGCCCAGCGATTCTTGGGCTGCTACTCACTTGAAAAGCGCACTTCCTGGAATGTCTACCCCTTATCGTAAATATTACCCCGGAATTGCGCCAATGCACGCCAGCAGCAAACCAACTTACGGTCACGCCTGCGCCAGAACGTGCGGTTCGCCTCGAGTGCTGATAAGAACCGTGCACCACGAAGACGAAAACCCTCAAACTTGAGCCGCAGAAACATCGCGACTGCTTTTTACTATTGATCGAAATGCATTCATGGGTGCGAATTGACCAGATATTCCATGAGACGATGGACTTTCTTAGACCGCACCGTGGATATGTTGCAACATGCTCTCCCGAAAGAAAAAATCGTATCCGTCGGCCCTGTTAGCCTCTGCAGCAATCTTCCTCGTCAGTACATCCACTGCAAATCCCACATCCCTCCGCTCCAACAGCAGACATACCGAGAGCGCTGATCTCATATCTGCAACCGCTTTCGATCATAGCGTTCGGACTAGTATCCAGACCCACGTCCACGAACGCTCAGATACGACGACACTCCCGCCACGATCTCTCCCCCGGGAACCGTATCGTCGGTAGCCGGAACATCATCTTCAACGACCGGGAAGCCTTTTCCCCCTTCTCCAGCACCGCCGAGGCCATCTCGGACATGTACGCCTCCGTCCACAACACCCTCATGCGCAACCGGTCCCGAATATCCCCCGCAAAGGTCCTCTCGCTCACCCACGGCGGTCTGCGCCTCGCTTTCCACGCCGCCGAACGAGCCGTACCGTGGGGTGCCGCTGATTCTTTCCTGCGGGGGATGGTGGACCTCACCAGCGCGGGGCTCACGGGGCTGGACACTGCGGCTCTCTATGACCTGCAAGGGTCGATTTTGTGGTCGAGGGTTGCGATCGGGTTGATTTTGCTGCCGCATGTGAAGGAGGGTGTTGCGCAGAATATGATTGCTTGAGATGATGGGGAGCGTGATGTCCGCGCGGAGGTGTGATGATTGAAGATGGACGGGGCGATGTGAGATGGTAGAATTAGACCAGGTGCGACTGGTGATCGATTGATGAAGCGAGGGAGTGGGCTGTTACGTGGTAGGGCAGGTTAGAGGTGTGGACCTTTGACGGAATCGGCACACAGCCTCTTGATCTGCACAGCAGTGTCCACTCCCTTGATACATTGTTTTTCCCTAGCCATGATATGCAGCCACTAAAGGCTAAGGTTCACTATCATCGCTTTCGGGTCGCTGAATTACGTATTGTAGTTGTTGTTCCCAGGAATAGATTTGTACTCGAGCAAGCCTGATTTGACAGCTCGATCCGCTGGTATGTCATCGGATGGGATTTGCGTACTTTGCACCCCATGTGATGCACTCGTTGGCATTGCTTTTACATGTGTAACCACAAGCTCTTTATCGGTGATGATGAAGCCGTACCGTGCCTTGGCCTTGAGGCAATCCGTCTAGATCTGGGCCCGAGGTCGGATCCACTCTTCCTTCGTGAATGCGATTTTCGCAGGGTCTCGCTCGATCGTGTCACTTCGCTAAGCTCGGTGTCTCCGGGTAGTGTGGGCCGGGACGAATTCGAAGGCTGTATTGCTCCCCAGTCCGGACGATAGCTCGCGTCATTCCCGGGGTGTTGCGTTTGACCATCTTTCAACATGTCAATCTTTTTAACGAGCGGTATGATAGCCAGTCAGATCAACGAAGTTGTTGGAGGTACATCCACGGTCGATCAGGGTTCAATGGTGGTGACTCCGTCATCCAGGCTGGGCAGAAGGTCTGTGGAACTTTCCAAACTAGCAAGAGATGGCTGCTTGGTGCTGCCAGAGCGCACCTGCCATCCGCGATGGTGCGAGAAGGGGAGAAAAAGTGGAGGGGGAGGGGGTTTAGCTATTCGAAGATAGGAGGATTCATTGCTCCTTGTCATTTCGCTGCTGTTCCTGCTGCCCGGAGTGGTCCGAGGTAAGAGTCGAATGATGCTAAAGCGAGGATGCTGTTATCACACTTCTGGGATTTTACAATGAGGAGGTGTGGTATACCCACTCCTACAGAAATCATGAAGCTCGGATTCTAGTATCTATCCCGCAGCGATACATCCGAGGGAGAGGTTCCGTGCCGCGATGATGGCCGGAGAATCTCCTTTTCGAGAATAGATGGTGTCAGCATTAGGAAAAGCGCGTTCCAAATTTCGTCATTCGGTTGACCGGAATCGGCAGTTTCAAGCCATACTCAAAACATTCACGCGGCAAATCTATCCGACAGTGGAAAGGGTTGTCATTAAGCCCCTTTCTCTACCTTTTTCTCACCTTGTACTCTCTATCCTGGACGTTTTGCGCGCATCTCATTGGTGTTATCAACCACACTCCTGGCTGGCTTGTAGATGACCCTCCTATGTTGTACGAGCCCTTGAGTCGTGACAAGAAATATGGTGCTTGATTGGTTAATGCGTGTTTTGGTAGGTTCGGCGGAGGAAAGGGTTGCAACCATGGTTTTGCGCGGTTGGGGATGATGAAGCCGAGATCATCATCGCCATGTGATATCCTCGGAGAAAGAAGTAGGTGGCGAGATGATCTGATCCTTCATGAGCAGTTCGAAAGCCGAGGTGCATTTCTGCAAGAGAAAGAGACGGCTATAAAGCCAGAAGAGACATCTTGCTGTTCCTGACTACCCTTGCAGCAGCACTTCTCTTGTGGAATCGTTGCATATCTGAGTCTTCACCATGTTGGCTTCCTTGGCTCTGCTAGCTCTGTCAGCCTACCAAGTCTCTGCTTTCCCCTCCCGCCTCTCTGAAGCTTTCCTCCAGCGACGAAATGCAGACCCAGCCCAGGTCGACTCACCCTGCCCCCATATCGTTGAGCTCGCCAAGCGCGCTGTCGCAGAAGGACATGAAATCGCCAGGCGCCAGGCTCCTGGAGTTGTGCCGCCTTTCAATGCTACTGAGCAATATGTCAGTAATCAAGGCCAATACGTTTTCGTTGCACCGGGACCGACAGACCAGCGCGGACCGTGTAAGTCTTCTCGTATAAAGGTCGAGGTGAAGTCTTCTCATACCTTCTCGTAGGCCCGGGTTTGAATGCTATGGCCAACCATGGCTACCTCCCTCATAGCGGCGTAGGTACCATAGACGAATTTATAAACGGGACAGGGGCTGCTTTTGGTATGGGCTCGGATCTAGCCAGCTTTCTTGCCGTCTATGGTTCTATCTTCGATGGCGATCTTACTTCTTACTCCATCGGCGGCCCAGTTGCCGGTCTCACCGTGGCTGGCCTATTAGGCGAGCCACAAGGTCTTTCAGGCTCCCACAACAAGTACGAGGGGGACGTGTCTCCGACTCGTGGCGACCTTTTTGAATAGTAAGATGCTTGCACGTGTTCCATCCAGATCCTCCAATGCTAAAACACTCACAGCGGCAACGACTACTTGGTTCAGGTCTCTCAATTTTCTGCACTGTACGAACTCGGTCAACAAAACGGCGACAGCATCGACCTTCAAGTACTCACCGAGTACCGCGCTACCCGCTTCCAGCAATCCATCAGCAACAACCCGTACTTCTTCAACGCACCCTTTAGCGGCGTTGTAGCATCTCCCGCCGCTTGGTCCTTCATCTACCGATTCATGGCTAATAAGTCCTCCGAATACCCCGAAGGTCTCCTCACAGGCGACGTCTTCAAATCTTTCTACTCCATTACTGGCGACTACCCCAACTTCCAATACACGCCCGGATACGAGTCCTTCCCAAACAACTGGTACAAGCGAAATCCGGTCGATTTTTACACCATCCCCTACCTCTCCATGGACGCGGCCACGATGACTCAACAGCATCCGGAATTCCTCAGCCTCGGCGGCAACACTGGTAAAACCAACACCTTCACCGGCGTAGATCCCCAAAATCTCACTGGCGGCGTCTACACTTCTTCGAACCTTCTGCAGGGCAACAATGCACTATGCTATGGCCTCGAACTTTCACTAATGGAGTCGCCTGACATTCTTTCCGGGCTGTATTCGGACGATGATGCGGCGCTGGATGCATTGGGAACAGCGATCAACGAGGCGACTGGTGCGCTGGGTTGCCCGCAGTTGAGTGCGATCAACGAGGGCCAATTCGCTAACGACTTTGCTCAGTATCCTGGATACACGAAGCTTTCGTCCACGGGGACTTATTGATATGAGTTTTTGTAATCTTCACGATATTGGAAGTCCGTCTAGCCGATCGTTGTAAATACTTTGTTCTTTCGTGTGAAGACATTCGGAAGCTTGCAAGTCAGTCTTAGCCGACTTCAATATAGCATACACCATGCTACTCACTACCAACCCTCATCTCCTCATGAGTTGACAGGGTTGGTCCACCATAGAGCTCGAGGAGCCACACTTTTTTAGGCTAGGACAGCGTAAAACAAAGCCGCAGCTTCCGCAATGGTTTGGCATCCGCTAGTTCCCATATGGCATAAACAAGGCATTCTTAATGAATTCCAATTCTTGCTCTTGATAGATTATGATGTTGAAACTGATCTGTAAGGATTATGAAAATTAGGGACACTGTTCAGACCACTGTGGTATGTTGTATAATCGACCAGGGCGATATGGGGATGGCGAAAGGGGTAATGGAATTACTGAACTTCACGGTCCCGTGACTGCCGGGCTGCTTTCACTCCGTTCCAGGGTGTTGTTGACATACGTCATTGTAGCTAGCAACGCGCAAACATTTCACATAATTTTCTATATGTTAATGCTCATGCATCCAGCACCCGTACTGGGAGTACGTGTCTTGGTTCACTAGCTTTCGAGACTTCTCAACCGGCATTGTCTAAGTCGAAGGATTGACTGGCCACACTCAAAATGGCCTCCGCCTCTCCTTCGAGCCAGTCACGCGCGTTCTTGAGTATCCCACCTGGTGAGTACCAAGCCAACTAGCCTAGGCCTCAAACAAATACTAAGCCGAGCAAACAGAAATCAGACTAAGGATATACCATTACCTCTTCGAGAAGGAGCCAGGAGATGACTGCTTTCTCAGCGGCCCTCGCTTCGGACCCTGGCGTGAAGGCCCAGAGACCCAACGGCCTAAGGTCGAACGTTCCATCGACATGCAAGACCTCATCAGTATGGGCCGACATCCTGAGATCCTGAGGGTGAACCACCAGGTATATTTCGAGGCTTTTCCGGTCTTCTATTCAGGCCTCGAAACTGTAGATCCAAATAAAGGGACTTGGAGATATAAACCCCTCGAGGGCGACTTTCAGGCATATCACTTCGGAGATTACGATCAATATGAAACCTTCGACGTTGTTTACGATCCTCCCCTGATGCAAGGCTCAAGGAGCCCTCAAAAGCTAGCCAGATTCACAAAGGTCCTGCTCATCGCTAAATTCATGATTCCAAGTTGTCCGATAGGCTGGAGGTACGATGAGGAAAACGGGGAGCTCGACTATGCAGCGCAGCAAGACTTGACTGATACACTGCGTGCATCGAACATGATCGAAGACTTCGTTGAGCTATTGGCCCGGTGTTCGTGGGTAGACCATGTGGATATAGATCTCGGTGTAGTGGCCAGCTGGCAAAGAGATCAACAAACTGTTGAGTATGACTCGCCTGTTGAGGATCTTGAAACGCCCCATTGGATTGGGCTGAGAAAGATATGGCACAAAGGCGACATCCAGGTAGCCGACATCTTACTAGCCGGTGGTGTTCTCAGCCCTTTACAGAGGTTGTCCAACATAAGGTCCTGGTGTATAGAATTGACAGTGGAGGATTTGATGGAAGAGCCGCCTTGTATGCATGAGAGAATGACTTTGGATTTGAGTAACGCGGTTGAGCAGGGAAAGTAAGCTGAGAAGATACCATGCTACCAGCCCTCTTCATCACACTAATACGCAAGGGTCCAGGACTGAACTATGCAATGGGCATAACAGCAACGTCGTCCCGTGTGGACTTTTGTGGAAACCTATATCGGAACCCTGATCCAATCCTTTGCTCTCTCAGACATGAAAGGTAGGAGATGGACAGTCGTCGATCAATGCCGGGCTGGTGTCCGATTCCAATCGTGCGGTAAATGGCCAACACAATTTTTTAATACGAGCATGCCTCCTTTGGCGGGACGAAGCCTTTTGTTTGGTGGAGCAAGAGGACAATGCCGTCGTCTTCGGGGGCATATCCCTGGCAAATACCACTCACTGAGGCAGCGATGTTGGGCAGTTATTTCCTGTGGCTTCACGTATCCTGTATTCACGAAACCCAATGAAGTGCAGCTATTTTACAAACTGCGCAAAATGTGAATGTGTGCATAATTTAATGCAGTTTGCACAATTTTCTCCGACCACTCCCTGAAGTACATGCCCACGTCCACTTAGTCCCAATTAGACGTCTTGTCAGTGCGTATAGCCTAAACTCCTGTGAAGTGAACAGCCCCCAGACTACTAATGTTCGGAGCTGAGATGCGGCTTCAGCTAGGCCGCAGCCTCGACGCTGGCTAGTCCAGCACTCCAGTCAGGCAGCAAGCAAGGATATAGCACTCTCTGTCCCTCATAGTATCTATAGTACCAAGAATATGGTCTCCACACCTTCACGCATCCGCGGCTCTCTCTACGGTACCGCCGTCGTCGATGCCCTTGGCGGTCCCGTCGAATTTCGCCGCCGAGGCACCTTCGCTCCCGTAACGTCGTATCGCTTCAATGCGACCTTTGGTCTGAAACCTGGGACATGGACTGATGACACTTCAACAATGTTGTGCCTCGCACAATCTCTAGTGGACACAGATGGGAAGTTTGTAATCCATGATCAGATCAGAAAGTACGTGAGGTGGTACCAGGATGGCTATATGAGTGCTACGGGGAAGTGTTTTGATATTGGGAATGCTACTAGGCAGTCGCTGGACATATGGAGGGAAGCTGGGAACATCAGTGCATTGGAGCTCCGACACTACCAGAACATGGTCGATAGAGCATTGACCCATGAGGTTCGGCAACCCGAACATCCATTTCTCTTCACCAGCTGACGTTCGCCCCACAGAGAGCATGCGGCAACGGCTCCCTCATGCGCTGCGCTCCCATACCACTCATCTACCACCACTTTCCAGTACTCGCTCAAAAGTCCGCCGCACTGGCCTCTACACCCACGCACCCTCATCCTACCTGTCAAGAAGCGTGCCAAGTCTATACCCACCTAATCACTCTTATTATGACTAAACCTGGTATCACTAAGGCTGAACTTTTCACTGCTCTCCAGGAGTTTCCGTTCACCTCTACGGTCCTTCGTACAACATTCGACAGGTACAAGGACAAAAGGGAAGAGCAGTCTGCAACCGATTTTGAACACTTCGTCCAGACGCCTGACTTTCAGATCAAAAGCTCCGGATACGTGGTGCACACGCTTGAGGCGGCGCTCTGGGCCTTCTTTTCGACATTGACTTTTCAAGAAGGAGCTCTGAAGGTCGTCAATTTAGGTGACGACGCTGATACCGTTGGTGCTGTCTACGGTGGGCTATCTGGAGCGTGGTATGGCATTGAAGCGATCCCCAATGAATGGATTGATGGTCTACAGGCCAAGAGTATACTCGACGAAGTGGCAGGAGGAGTGGTGAAGCTAGTCGAGAAGGGCGGGTATGGTGAACAGTGATGGGAATTACCCAGCGTCATACCTCGAACATCCTACCAGGCTTCCATCAATTGGGGCTTAGATGTTGAAGCTGTGCCCCTCGGTGTCTCTCTCATTGAGTTTTTACACTTGCGGGACTCTTTGGGCATGGGCACCTTCTCAGTCGTTCTGGCTAGAAACAGCATTGAACGCCACCCGGGTAAGACATTTGCTGACGCTGAGGGAGATAAGTGTCACGTAAGCTGTCCAAAAAGGTACCAGTCTGAGAAGTTGGAACCCTCTCAATTTCACTTCAAATTTGGATATCAGCCCGGAAGAATGTGTTGGCCGTCATCGACCGGTCTTTTTGCACCTGTGTTCGACTCCTTCAAGATTGCGCTGTGTGACAGCCATCCAATGACATGTCGCCAGCGGACTTTGCTTTCAAGGCAGGGTCGCCTTATGGCACGGCTACGCGTCGTTGAGCTTGCATCAAAAATCGATGTTTCTCCGTCTCGGCCTCACTATTGTGCAATCGATCCCACACCAGCGTTGTCCTTTCAGATGTCATGACTGATCCCCCGAAATTCGCTTTCTTGAAGGCTTACGCGAAGGCCACAACAGAACTATGATGACACTTGCCTCACCGTGAACGAGAGTCCCACCTTCTGCAAACGTTGTTCAGGCAACGCCTCCCACAGTGACCTGCTTTCCTGATCTTTTGCCCCTTCTGAAGTATGATTCGAGTCCACGTCTTTGTTTGGTTCACTTCAAGACTATGTCTTCATCATCTGTTGTACGCGTACGTGGATACGAGGATTCTCTGCGATGTCACGCTAACAATGTGACGTATGTCCTAGGAAACACTGGATTCTAGATTCTTGACTTCATCATTCGTCATTTGTGGTCAGATCCATCCGAGCCCCAAAAAATTGCCATAAACCAAACCAGATCAGATCTACTGCTAAGCCAGTGAGTGGCTCCACGACGATGATGCTGAAGCTACTACCAAGTCTAAGCGGTAAATATGCCCTTAGACATTTCTGCGAATGCATCGACGATGGTCGCTACTTCTACACCATCTCGAAATTGGGGCTTTCGCCAGGCACCAGACTGAGCTTTTGAGTTTGACTGCAGTTCTATAATTGCACTCACAAATCCGTGCAACAAGCTACAGGTTATTTAGTCTTTTGATCTTCCGTGTTCACGTGAATAACGTCTGTGCATCATCGAGACTTTGGAGAAATGAACGGAAAGCAAATACATCGAAGCTCCCAATTATCAGGTACTTTAGGGCCCTGTGAAGGTTTTATCCGACAAAGTCCTTAATACGCGCTTCTGGCGAAGTCATGGCGTGCGCCAATGAATTCCCTGCATTGACCACCACTGACGGCCACCGGGAACGGGTGCGGCTCTAACCTCTGTGCCAATTAAGCAACGTATCCATCAAATTTGACGCAGCTAGGAAGCAAGCCACCCGTGTCACAGAAACAATTTAATGCATGTATCTGCATATGGTGAAAATACACTGGCCTCACAGTGAGGAGATGAGGACCGCGAGAGCGCTTGAATGCAACTGCAATTGAGTACCTAGATTGAAATCGTCTAAGCTAAAGTTACCAGGAACATGGCACGTACGATGTTCGTGGATTTATACATAAGGAGAAAAGGTACCTAGGCTGATCCCGTCAACTGCAACTTTATCTCGTTGGAATGAACCCGGAATACTCACCAGCCATGTCTAGACCTAGCATCGTCCCAAGTGTCGACGAATTTCGCCTTCCCAAATTCGACTTTGAGCCATGGTCAACAAGGTCATCGGTCTACTCTCAAGGGACTACTGAAGATGAGAAGGCTCTCATCGACTTCAATAAATGCGTATCGGAAAGCGCGGAGGATTGGTCGCCGGTAGGTCTATCCCTTCACTAGCTGTGCACATTTCTGACCTATTACAAAGGCCAAGAAATTGTTCGCCGTCAGCACATGTTTCCTGATTGTCCTCAATTCAGCCATTGCGTCTTCGCTTCCTGGCGGAGCCGTCTCCTACACCGCAGATTACTTTCACGTCACTGATGAACAGCAATACGGCCTTCCCATATCCGTATTCTTGATCGGCTACGTATTCGGACCTTTGCTTTTCAGTCCTCTGAGCGAGATGTACGGTCGAAGAATCATAATGATCATATCCTTTATTGGATATACTGCTTTCACGTTTGGCTGCGCCATGGCGCCTACGTGGCCAGCGCTCCTCATATTTCGCTTCCTCGTCGGACTTTGTGCTGCTGCGCCCTATACTTTAGGAGGAGGCATCTGTGCAGACCTCTATTCGAACGCTGCTCATCGGGGACTAGCCATCATGGTGCTTATGATAGTGAGTCCAAAAGCTTCTTATTCTCATCGCACTTTGACTGACTCGGTGCTAGGTTCTTAATGTTGGACCTGCTAGTGGACCTATCATCGCTGGCTTTGTCTCGTCAGTCAGTTGGAGGCGGAAATACTGGGTCGCTCTAGTGTTAGCTGGTGTATCTTTTATTCCTCTACTGTTTCTTCCGGGTAAGTACAAGTCTCCCTTCCGGGTTTGGAGCACGTCACTGAGACGAATAGAAACATATGGACCAGTGCTACACGCTCGACGTGCTCGAGCCGCCAGGACCTGGGTTGGTAAGTCAGCCAAGCCAACGCCTCTTGTATCGAACAAGCAAAGCTTGACAAAGACTCTATCGGTGGCCTTCATTCGCCCTTTCCGCATGTTTTCTGAGCCAATCGTACTGGCCACATCCCTCCTCATGGCCATGGTATATGCCATCTTCTATCTATTCTTCGAAGCATACCCGATAATCTTTGGAGGTGAGACGCTTCATCTACCGGCTGATCTCACCAGCTACCTCATTGGTCTGAGTTGCAATGGCTGAAATCTCGACCAGGAGTGTACCAAATGAGCACCGGCGTCTCCGCCCTTGCATTCATACCCAGTGAGTTTCAGGGATGTAGTCTATTTCTGAGCGTGGTACTGATTTTGGAAAGTGCCAATCGGCGCCTGCCTCGACATCATCATTGTCTTGTGGTGGGAGCGTTATCTCGAACGTGCGAAAGCGAGGAATGCCCCCTGGGCTTTCAACGAGGAATACCGGCGCATGCCTCTCGCATGCATTGGCGGTCCTCTATGCGCGCTCTCACTATTCTGGCTCGTATGTCAAGTCGCTCCCACCTTCTAATTTTTCACACGCTAATCTCCGCCTTCGAACCACAGGGCTGGTCAGCCCGCCCCACTACCCACTGGATCATCCCCATGCTCGCCGGCATCCCCTACGGCATGGGCGTTGAAATCATCTTCATGGCGCTAACCAGCTACCTGTCCGATGGCTACGGGACTCTCACCGCCTCCGCACTCGCCTCTGCAGCCATCATGCGCAGCGTACTCGGCGCTCTTCTGCCGCTGCTCGCGCAGCCGATGTACGGCGCGCTGGGAGTGGGTTGGGCGTCGAGCCTGCTGGGGTTTGTGACGCTGGCGATGGCCGTGGTGCCCTTTCTGCTGCTGAAGTTTGGAGGCGGGCTCAGGAGGAGGAGTAAGCTTTGTCGGCAGGTTATCGAGAAGAAGGAGGCGCTGGAGGGGCAGGTATAGGGCGGGGATTTGGAGAGTGCGATATAATGGTGCCCTGTGCAGGCAGGACGGGCAAGACGATTTGCTGATAGAGACCGCTGCTGTGAAGGTCTCTGTTGTAATAGTAGCCGGAAGAGCTGCCTGTGCTGAATGAGTTTATGAGGAGGGGGAGGGGGGTGGGGGGGGGGTTGGGGGTTGTACATGTGGTAAAAAGGGTTGTACGTCTAGCTCTATCCTTTGGGATTGTTTACAACATTACAGAGTCGGCTTCTTAATGCGCGATTCCATGTTACAAAATTGTGGACAAAAGCATTCATTATGTTATGGTTCATTCATTGTCCTATCATATATAGATCACATATGTCAACGTTCCAAGATGCTCCACATAAGCAAGGAAAGCACAGAAAACAAACGATGCTCCAATCCATTTCACCATATCGCGTCTGGATTTCACCAATGCTTTGACTCCAGTCTCATATAACTCACTGTACATTAACCAACCCAGACCCCTGATCAGAAACCAGGCACAGTATACTTCGCGACTCTGCAGTCTCATCCTAACGCGGAGTCTGACTGTGGAACAGGCCCGAAAGTATACCCCGATATCGGCCAGAGCGTTTGCGACCGAAAGTCTTCATGAATGACAGATTAGAACAATCTGTAGGGAACCTCGAAAACCCTTCAGAAGCTCAAGCTTGGAGTGTGAAGAAGCAGATCAGACGTTGTCTGGGCTGGCGAGGAAGTCCGCCGACGTTTCGGAGCGCACGTGTATGCTACGAAAATGAGGTTGAGAGGCGGAGTTGTTTTGATTCCTGGAGGCAGGTAAGGTAGGAAGGAATGTGAGGTTAGTGGATCGAGGGAAAGACATCCATAGAGGGAGGGAATTAGCCCCGGTGAAGATCCCAAGTAGCCTATTCGTGAGTTGACATGGACAGTTATTAAACAGAAACGGTGAGAGCTTCAGGATTGCCACCTTTTTTGCAACATTTTACCTGTGTGGATTTGGGACCTCGACTTGGTAGGTCCTCTGTGGGCGTGAACTGGAGGCCCGCGCTGAGATCTCGGATGCTTAACGCCCCGGCTCCCCTGGACGGCTACCTAAGCAAGGTAGGTAGGTATGGTAGATACGTATCTAGATATTGCGCTTAGACGCCCCGTGCTTCGGTAGTTGCGCCTGACCTAAGCCCAGTACGGGTCACAGGAGTCCCTAAAGTAGAGTTCAATAATATTATATGCGCTCTCAGGAGGAGCTCGTTCTAGGGCCCTCCGCCATTGGGACGCTTTTCCGCAAGGGAGGTAGGGTTAGGGCTGCTGTTCAGGCCTGTGCGGGCTTGCTCCACTTTCTCGGAGACATGCAGGCGAGCGAGGATTGATCTCTTTCCAGTATCGAACAGGGAGGAAAACAAGATTTTTGGCATTCATCTTATTCAATTCCATTGCA